GTGGAAAGACCATCTCTCAAAACAAACAAACAAAAAAAACAGGAAAAAGAGTTGGGAAACATTTAGAAATCGAGATCCTACTAGCTCTAACATTGAGAGCCACATGGGGAACCTTATTTGGAAACTGGGTCTGAGAGGTGAATGAGTTAAAATGGAATCATTGCTTCCCCTGAGGAGAGGGCAAGGTGTGGTCTCGCACTGGGCAGAGGAGACTGCAGTGAGATGTGGGGAGGTGGAGACAAAGACAGAGCTGAGGAGTGCCCTGGGAGGAGGGCTAAGTGTGAGGTTGCCGTGGCAACGGAGACAGTGTGTGCCCTTTCTCCATGCCATCGCCCCCTACACTAGAAGGACAATGCACATGACAGATTGTACTTGGTTTGCTCCCATCCTCCAGCGTATCTTAGAGGTTGTGACCATTCTCCAGTAGCTGGTACCTAGTCGACCATCCCTGTTCCTTCACCCCGCCTTGTACCCCCTCTACGTATTGCCCCTATCCCTGGTCAATGTGGTGGGTTGAATGAAGATGATCCCCATAGGTTCATACATGTGTACGCTTTGTCCCCAGCTAGTAAACTGCATGGATAGATTAGGTATGTCCTTGTTGAGGTATGTCACTGGGAGCAGACTTGAGGATTTGAAAGCCTCCAGCAGGCTCAGTGTCTCTGTCTCTGTTTCTCTCTGTCTCTGTCTCTCTCTGTCTCTCTGTGTCTCTCCCCTGTCTCTCTTTCTCTGTCGTCTCTGTCTCTCTGTCTCTCCCTGTCTCTCTGTGTGTCTCTGTCTATTCTCTCTCTGTCTCTCTATGTCTATCTCTCTGTCTCTGTCTCTCTCTCTCTGTGTCTCTTGTGTGTTTCTCTCTGTCTCTCTCTGTCTCTCTCTGTCTATCTCTCTGTCTCTCTCTCTGTATGTTTCTCTCTGTCTCTCTCTCTGTGTCTCTGTGTGTTTCTCTCTCTCTGTCTCTCTCTGTCTCTCTCTCTCTGTCTCTCTCTCTCTGTGTCTCTCTGTGTGTTTCTCTCTGTCTCTCTCTGTCTCTCTCTCTGTCTCTCTCTGTCTCTGTCTCTCTCCCTCCCTCCTTCCCCCCCCTCTGCCCGTGGATCAAGATGTAGCTCTCACCTACCGTTCAGTCACCATGCCTGCTCGTGTGCCACCACACCCCCCACCATGATGGTTATGGACTAAGTCTCTGAAACCGTAAGCCAGTCACTAATTAAACGTTTTCTCGGGGTTGCCTTGGCCATGGTATTTCTCCATAGCAATAGCACAGTGACTAAGACAATCACCAAGCCCTAGATTCTGGTTGGGTTGCCCAGTGTGAGGCTACAGTGGGAAATGGGGGGAGCAGGCAGACTGGACATGGCCTTTAAAGCAGCCACACCCCATGTAGCTCTGTGATGGCCCCACCTCTCTTCCCACAGCTCCTGGAAACCACCCCAGCTTCCATGGCCCCTGCCCTGGCCAGTGCACTTCAGAGCCCAGTTTGTGGGGGAGGGTACTGCTGGCCTCTGGGCTCTAGAGCATGCTGTTTCTTCTTCCTAAAACATTCTTTTATTTTAGATGACGTGTACATTTGTGTGTCTGCCTGTAGTTTTGCACATATGAGTGCAGTGCCCATGGCAGCCAGAAGGGGGCGCTGTCTCTCTCGGCTCTCTAGTGAGAAGCCTGAGATTAAGATGTCCTCAGGGCCACACCCCCTCTCAAAGCTCTCTGTACACCTGGTCTGGTATCTGGAGCTGCTGTGCTTGTCTTAGGTGACAGCCACCCCATATCTGCCTGCTGCTAACTTCACTCCCACAGAGACAAGACATAGCCACCTGGCTCTGCTCACAAACCTTCCAGATGCTCGAACTATGCCAAGCTCTGCCTGTGATCAGCATTCCATAAACAGCTGTTGGTGGCTCACCTGGCTCCTGGTGGGGAACTTTGCAAAGGTATGAGCAGGCTGCCTGGCTATAGCTTGGAAATCAGCTGAATATGTTCCCTGGAAGCAATGCTTTAAAAGATTCCCGAATGTTATATGTGTGTGCACTTATGTATGTGTGTGTGATGCATGTGCGTGCATGCACGTGTGTGTGCATATGTAGTACATGTGCGTGTATACTTGTGTGTGCATTGTGCTTGTGTGTGTGCATGTGTGGCACATGTACGTGCATGTGTGTGTGTGTGTGGAGAGAGAGAGAGAGAGAGAGAGAGAGAGAGAGCTCTAGAAGACAACCCTAGTGTCATCCTCAGGAATATGGTCCACCGCCTTTGCAGGGTCTTTTCTGTCCTGGAACTCACTAATTAGTCTAGATTGGCTGGCCCTGGAACCCCCAGGATCCACCTACCTCTGCCTTCTGCTCCCCAGCACTGAGTTCTATCCGGAACTACCACTGCTGGCATCTGGACATGGGTCCTGGATCTAACCTGGGTCCTCATCCTTGCAAGGCAAGCACTTTACTGACTGAGCCTTCTCCCCAACCCCAGCAGTGACTTCTGCAGCTTTAAGTTCCTCTGGACACACAAGCTCCCTGCACCTGGCACTCAACAAAGAAGATGTTGCTGGTCCAGGCATTGTGCTGGAGCCGGTCTTGGAGAGCAGGGGTGGGGGGGGAGGAAGGAGGGGGTGGGTTCAGAGACAAAGATAGCCACCTTCACCAGCCAACAGGGAGATTCAAATCAAAGCAAGAACAGCCAGCAGGACAGGTGTAATAAAAAAAAAATGAAAATGGTAGAACAGGAAATGAGAATTTTTACACGCTACCTTAGAAATATGACACAGTTTGAAAAACTATTTGTTCACAAGTTCCTACAGAGTTACGTGTGTCCAAGGAATCCCACCCCAGTACCGTGCCCGTGAGAAACGAAAACACGTGTCCACATAAAGACGTGCACACAGATGATCATACAGACCGGCCCCATCCGGATGTCTGAGGCTGACGGGTGAATACACAAAAGTCGCAGGGTCAGACATTTAACACTAGTCAGGGGAAAGAAATGGAACGAAGAACAATTCACCCAGGGACGCAGATGAAGCTGGGAAACAAGGTGCCAAGGGAAACGCGCCAGGAGGGGAATGCGGCCATAGAGACTCTGCGGACCTTCTAGGTTCTGAGCGGGGAGGAATGATGGCAGGTGCTGGGCTTCTGGAAGAAAAACTGAGAATGTCCTGGTACTTTGCTTGTGTATGACGGTTTCAGATATGGTGTTTATGTGTGTGTTTGTTTCTTGTTTTTTTTTCTTTGATTTTTTAAAAAAAAATTCCACTTTTTTTTTTTGGAGTTTTTGTTTGTTCTGTTTGTTTGCTTTCTACAGAGAAAGAGAGAGAAAGGGCTGGGAGTTTAGTTGGTGGGGAGTTGGGAAGGATCTGGGAGGAGTCGTGGGGAACCATGATCAAAATAGATTGCATAAAAAGCAGTTTTCAATAAAAATTTTCTAAGGTTGTGACGCGTGAAAGATTGTCCATATACTAAAGACCATCAAGTCAGACACTTTTATTTTATTTTGTGTTTGGTGGGGTGTGTGCTATCACATGTATGTGGAGGTCTGAGAACAACTCGCTGGCATTGGCTCCTTCCCTCCACTATGAGGTGCCAGGGAGTAAAAGGGGTAAAAATTCAGGTTGTCAATTTTGGCAGCAAGCTCCTATGTTGCCAATTGGAATCCTACACTTTGAGTAATTGTGTGACGTGTGAACTGTATCTTAATAAAGCTGCCAACAGGAACAAAGGACATGGGGAGGTGGGGTGAAATGTCTTTTCTTCCCCAAGACAGGGTTTCCCTGTGTAACAACCCTAGCTGTCCTGGAACTCGCTCTGTAGACCAGGCTGGCCTCAAACTCACAGAGATCTGAGTGCTGCCTGCCTCTACCTCCTGAGTGCTGGGATTAAATTCACCACTGTCACCCACCTGGTGAATGTCTTTTAGAAGAAAATTGCAAAGGCTTTATGGGAAGACGCAGGGTTCAGCTGAGGCATTGTGGGTAATGATAGTAGATGGTGCCCTCTCTGAAGAGAACCAGGAGTCTCCATTTAAAACCTCCCATGCCTAAGAACAGGTCCAGAGAAGGCCTTGAAATGCAATGGGACATGTTAAGAACTGAACAGGATAAAACCCGTCTAACTGCAGCAGGCACAAAGCCCACAGAGGCAAGTCTGGCCAAGAACTCAGCCCCGAGGCTGGCAGATGAGGGGTTAAAAGGGTTCCCCAGAGAGCAGTGGGATGCCTGTAAAGTTACAGGCTGTTGGTAATCATTGTGAGGCTCTACTTAGCACCTACAAGGCTTGAATCAAGACCACCATTCAACAGGTCCTCGTTCACCTGCCTGCAAAACAGGGCTGTTGTCGTCAACGCTCACCCTATAACAATATTCACAGAACATGCTCAGTCACTGAGTCAGTGCTTGGCAGTTTCTCTATATAAAAAGGAAGCAAGGGGGCTGCTGAGATGGCTCAGCCCGTTAAGGGGCTTTGCTGCCCAGCTTGACCATCTGACTTTGATCTCCGAGACCTTCTGCTAAGCTGTCCTCCGGCGGTCACATGTGAACCCTGGAATATGTGCACATACACACAGACACATACACACATATACATATACACATATGTATTCATATACACACATATATGCGCAATAAACAAATGAATTTGTAAAAAGGGTTTGTTTTGTTTTTTCTTTTGAAACAGGGTTTTTCTGTGTAACAGCCAGAGAATTCTCTCTGTAGACAACACTTGCTTCGAGCTCCGCCAACCTCTGCCACTCGGGTGCAGTGTGAGCACCACCAGCCGGAAAAAAAAAAAAAAAGTCTTTCTTAAGCAAAAATTCCTACTCTTTCTCAGTCACCCTACGGGCTTTCGGCACCAGCGCCCCCTGCCGGCCTTACCGAGCATTGTCATCGCCAGGACTCGGAGGAGAAACTGCGCCTGCGCAGAAAGCTCTCAGGGCTCCTTCCCTTCCTGAGGGCGGGACTTCCCTGGAGACGCTTCAGTGAGGCCACGCCCACTTCCGGGCGGAATCTGGCGGGGGGGCACGTGACGCACCAAAGATGGCGGCGCCCAGTGAGGTGGCGTGAAAGTTGTGGGAAGTCGGTGTGGCGGGGTGCGTGAATCAGAAGCTTGGAGGACCTGGGAGCCATGTCGCGACTGATCGTGAAGAACCTCCCTAATGGGGTGAGCAGGAGCCGTGGGAGGGGTCCGGAAGTGAATGAGGCGGGAGGATGGTGGGGTTCTTAAGTCTGAGCAGGACTGGCACCCGGTAGCAGGCATTCGGTAACTGCGTGCCGTGCGGGGTCAAGGAGGAAACCAGCGCGCGTATGTGGTGACAGGCGACCAGGTGGCCACTCAGAGGACCCTTCCTTGTGGTGGCGGTTAATTTTGGTCAACTTAACACAAGTCGGAGTCACTTAGAAAGAGGGAATTTCAGTTGATGAATTGCTTCCATGTGATTGCCCGGTGGACAAGTCTGTGAGACGTTGATGGGTGATTGACGTGGGAGGGCCTAGCCCGCTGTGGGTGGTGTCACCTCTGGGTAGCATAAAAATGCTAGCTGAGCAAGTAAAGTCTGCAGAGTTCCTCCGTGGTCTCTGCCTCAGTTCCTGCTTTGGCTTCCCTGGATGTGTGACTGGGACCTGTAAGCCAAATAAGCCGTTGTCCTCCCTAAGTTGCTTTTGGTCTTGCTGTGGATGGCAACAGCAGGAAGCAGACCAGAACACTTACTGTTCCACTATCACGGAGCAAGCTCAGCTCCAGACTTGTTTCAAAGCCAAGTGTGGTGGCACACACCCATTGTCAGCTTTCAATAGGATGGCAAGCGAGAGGCCAACCTGGGTTACATAGCAAGATATGGCAAAATTAAATAAGCAAACAAATAAATAAATGAATTCGTTTTGGCTGTTGTTGGGGCCACATGCCCCTAGAGCAGTGGTTCTCAGCCTTCCTAAAGCTGCAGCCCTTTAATACAGTTCCTCATGTTCTGGCAAAAGCCCCCCCCCCCCCCCCCCCCCCCCCCCCCCCCGCCACACACACACACCATAAAATTATTTTGTTGCTCGTTCATAACTATCATCTTGCTACTATTGTAAATTGTAATGTAAACATGTGATGTGCAGGATATCTGATACACATCCCACAAAGGGGGTTGCAACCGGCACATTGAGAACCACTGCCCTCGAGCCACACCTGGAAGTCTGGCCTGTTGAGATTAAAGCATCCAGCTGTCTACACTGTGGGACATTTTAGCCACATTATAGTAATAACATGTTAATTTCCCATCACTTCCTTGATAAGTGGTTGAAACAACATTGGTTTTTTATTTGTTTGTTTTTTTGTTTTGTTCGAGACTGGATTTCTCTGTAGCTTTGGAGCCTGTCCTGGAACTAGCTCTTGTAGACCAGGCTGGCCTCGAACTCACAGAGATCCACCTGCCTCTGTCTCCCGAGTGCTGGGATTAAAGGCGTGTGCCACCACCGCCCAGCGGTATTTTGTTTTTTTATTTTTATCATCTCAGAAGTCAGGGAGCCTAATGTCAAGGTGTTGTCAGGCCCTGACAGCTGGCGGGGGTGTCTAACCTTTCGACATGACACACCATGGCTGCCAGCAGATCTTCTTAAGGTTCTTCAGCATATGCTGTCCATTGTCCTCTGTGGCTCTGATTTGCTTCTGTCACCCCATCTTCTGATTCTCTCCCACCATCTAGTCTTCCTCACTCTGAGCCTTCGACCTCACTGATGGCATTGGAGTACCAGAAGAGAGATCCAGGATGCTCTACCCCATTGGGATTTTGGTTTTGAACCACAGTCTTAGGCAGTGGTAGTAAGTTCTAGGACAGCCCAGCCAAGGCTATGCAGAGAAACCCTGTCTTGAAAAACAAAATGAAAGAAAGAGACAGACAAACAGAACCTTAGTTTGTAGCCCAGGCTGACCTTGAATTTGCCATCCTCCTGCCTCTGCCTCACCATACACAGCTTCATCTCAGGATTCTTTTCTTTTTAGAGAAAGGGTCTGGTTAGTAGCCGTAGCTGTCCTGGAACTTGACATGTAGATCAGGCTGGCGTGAAATTTAAGAAATCTACCTCCTAAGCCTCCAGAGTCATAGAATTAAAAGTGCACATCACCATCCCTAGCTTCATCACCAGGGTTTAAACACGTCTGCACATCTGAAATGTCCCTTTTGAAATACCGGGGTGTGGTGGAGCATTTCTGTTGGGACTGGGAAGGGAGGCAGATGGATCTCTAGTTAGAGCCCAGTGAGGGCTACATACTCTTCTTTGCAGTGAGCCACAGTGCAGCCCCAGGTGCTGGGGATCAGGGTGTGGTTGTCTTTAATGGGTTCCATTCTTCCCTCCCACGGTTAGTAAACATTTACACAACTTCCCTTGTCTGTTTATTTAGAAAAGCCTCAGCCACAGATGGATGCTGTAACTGATATGGACCTCACAGGGCTCAGGATAAATAAGAAAGAGCGCACTTGAGGTGCCCTGGGGTCTCATTCCCTCACTAAAGAAGTGGTAACCTGCTTGTGGTACTCAGCTGGCGTCAGGCTCCATGTTGCCATCTTTTCACCTGCAGGGTGACCTCCAGGTCCTCTAGGCGTCCAGCTTGTCTGTCTCTTTGCTCTGGGGATCCCCGGCTCCTCATCATGCTCCTTCTCCCCCTAGATGAAGGAGGAGCGGTTCCGGCAGCTGTTTTCCGCCTTTGGCACACTGACTGACTGCAGCCTTAAGTTTACCAAAGATGGCAAGTTCCGCAAGTTCGGCTTTATAGGCTTCAAGTCGGAGGAGGAGGCGCAGGCAGCACTGAGCCATTTCAACCGGAGTTTTATTGACACATCCCGGATCACGGTGAGTCAGAGAGTCTCATCCTGCCTGCCGTGGAGAGTTTGCCTTACCTCAGGACTACCCAAGTTCTCAAGAGCCCAAGCATCATTTCCTGAGAATCCGCTAACTGTTCCCTCTCCAGAGTTAAAGCTTTTGACTTTCGTTGTACTCTTCTCTGTTATTCGACCTTTGTACCCTGAACACTTTATGATTATGGTAGAATTGATAGAATCAGTCACTTCTAAAGGCATGTCACTGGGATAAAGTGGTTTGCTACCTGGTAACAGCCTGGACTGTCTGGGGGTGGCTCATGGGCGTGTCCCCCCAAAGCTGCCTCTGAAAGTGTACCCGAGGTGACAGGGCTGAGCGCCACATCAGTTCATACACGGTCCCTGGCGTTCTTCTGCACTCCTGTCGTCACCCTGACAGCCACCATTTGCTGTTGCCCTGTGCCTGGCAGGTGCTGCCCCCCCCCCGACATCCTTTGTTAGCCTAGGGGGTGAATGTGGATTTCCAATCCCCATGTGCCCCAAGTTCTGTCTTCGCTCTGTCGTCACCTGCTTCCTGGGCCCCCCAGTCTCTGTCTTAACCTTTTGGTATGAGCAGAGGGGACAGCATCATTTCCTGTCACCTACTGGAGAGCATGGGAGACAGAGCTAGTACTCTGAATGGCAGTGGCCAGAATGACTTTTTGGAGGACTATGTCTAGGTTGGGTGGATCGTTTTAATGCACTCAGCAAGTCAGTGACCACTGCATTCTGGGAAAGCCACCCCCCCTGGAGCTGAAGGGGGCATACACGTGTCTGGGTGTCGCAGCAGCTGTGGAAGCCAGCTCTTTTCCCCATACAGGTGGAATTCTGCAAGTCCTTTGGAGACCCAACGAAACCCCGAGCCTGGAGCAAACATGCCCAGAAGCCCAGCCAGCCCAAGCAGTCATCACAAGACTCCATTCCCTCAGACACTAAAAAAGTATGCAGGTGGTGTGCCCAGCCCTGTGCCTGGTGTTGGCAGGGTGGTCTCTGGCTGGGAGGGAGTGGAAAGTATCTTTCGGATGGTTTTGGAAAGTGGGCATGCCCAGGGCAGTGCACTTCATCTTCCCACCTTCATCATTGCCATGACTCTGTCTGCCTTCCACTTTCAGGATGACAAAAAGAAAAAGGTGCCCAGTGACCTGGAGAAGGTGAGTGTTCTGTGGTTGGAGGTGGGTGGGTGTGAATACTGAGAGAGACGGTAGAGGGCTGGAGAGCCTCTGCCTCACCTCTCTCTTTCCTGCCTCTCCCCTGCTGACTGCCGCAGCTGAAGGAAGATGCCGAGTTCCAGGAGTTCCTGTCGATTCACCAGAAGAGGGCCCAGGTGGCCACGTGGGCAAACGATGCTCTGAACACCGAGCTCCCGAGTGCAAAGACCAAGCCAGCGAGTGACTATCTGAACTTTGACTCCGACTCAGACTCAGGACAGGAGAGTGAGGAGGAGCCGACTGGAGAGGAACCTGAAGGTGAGCGTACACCCCAGGTACACGTGAGCCTTTGCCTTGCCCTGACCGAATGGGCACAAGGACAATATACTTGGCACAAGCATACATAGGACTCTTTGTGTGACACTTTCTGGTGACAAGGGCTGCAGGAAAGGGTGCTTCCCTCCAGCCACCTGTGGGATGGGCAGCCCACCCACAGGTGTGTCTCCCCCAAGCCAATCTGGTCACTTGACTTAGCCAGTATTCACCGAGCATATACAGTGTGCCAGCACAGCTTTGGGGACTGTGGACACAGCAGTGAGAAAAGGCCCCAAGGATCCCCGTACCTGTAGCGTGGGCTTCGCAGTAAGAGCAGAGGGACGGAGACAAGTGGTTCCCAGCTGAGCAGGTGTGGTGACAGCCTGTGGGAAAGCTTCCCAGAAGGGCGCCTGCTGCGCTACGGGATAGTGGTAGGGTGTCTTGTCCTCATGGGCCCTGCTGTGACTGCTAAGTAGCCAGTCAGCACAGAGCGTAGGCCCTAAGTCCTACGGTCCACTCTAAGAGCTGTTCTGGTTTATCGGTGAGAATGTGGGACTAACTCAGCTCAGCCTGGTTAAGTCTGCTGGGCTGAGGAATGTGGGACTGAGGGCGGGGAGGCAGGGGAAGTGGGGAGCAGCCTTGGAGAGGCTCAGAGGAAGGGAGGGCCCTGGAGCTGGAGAGGTACAGCCTGGTTTCGGGTTAAGGCAGAGGGAGCCAAAGAAAGGAGTTGGAACTCCACCCTGAGCACTGGAAACCCACTGGAGGGTGCTGAACAGAGGTGTAGCCCCACGGTGTGCTCAGGGGGTCACACAAACTACAGTGTAAGGGATGCCATCCCTCCTCTGCTCAAGCAGGCTTCCCTTTCCTGCTTCCTCTCCCCCAGCTCTTGCCATCGGAGTATGTCACACCAGGTGTCCTCTGTACTTTAGTGTAAACTGTACTGTTCACCAAGGACACCAAGAGTAAAGGACAAAGTGGCAGGCGTGCATCACAGACACGTGCAGAAGCCTAGTGTCTGACAAGGACTGTAATCCGTACTCTTGTGGAGTTTGCTGAACCAGGAGATTACAGTAGTCTCTACTATGAGCTGTGTTGTGTGTATTACTTTAATATTGTTTAAAGATTAACGTAAAGGGGGGATCTTGGGGAGCTGGGGGTGATCGACTCAGCAGTTGAGAGCACTTAACTCCTCATCCAGATCTGAGTTCAGTTCCCAGCATCCACACAGTGGCTCACATTGGCCTGAAACTCCAGCCCAAGGGGATCTGCTGCCCCCAGCTGGCACCCGTGGGCACTGCACTCATGGTCTCACATCCACACACAGACACATACATGACTAAATCTTATCAGGGAGGAGGGGCTGGAAAGGAGCCACACATCTCTGTGTGTTGTGGGCAGAATGGGAAGACATGCAAAGTCACGTGTGATCTGATTCAGCGCCAGGTGTTGATCAGAGTGGATTTGTGTGAGGGCCATGGCTGTGGCGGGCATTTTGTCTCTGCTCACTAAGGCCGCTGACCCTCTGTGTCCCCAGATGAGCAAGGCCTGCAGACAAAGGCAGCCACGCAGAAGGAACTGTCCGACATGGACTACCTGAAGTCCAAGATGGTGCGGCGGACTGAGGTGTCCTCCGAGGATGAAGAGGACAGCGAGGATGAGGCAGTGAACTGTGATGAGGGCAGCGAGAAGGAGGAAGAGAAGGAGGAGGGCTCCCCTTCCTCCCCAGCCCCGCAGAAGAGTACGAGTTGGGCAGCCTCCACTGACAAGGTGCGTGTTCCGCTGTGAGAGCTGACGGAGAGACGGCCTGGTCACGCAGGGTCACTGCAGCCCCCTCCCTGGGGACCTGCCTGGGAGGGAAGGCCACTCAGCCACAGGATGTCTTTACAGCCTAGGTCCCTGAGCTGGAGTGGGGAGGCCGCCTGTTGCTGGAGTTGTGGGGTGACGATGAGATGGAGTTGGGGGAGTACCTGTTGCTGGAGTTGGGGGTGTTGATGAGCTGGAGTGGGAAGGCCACCTGTTGCTGGAGTTGGGGGGTGTCCATGAGCTGGGTGGGTCTTGCCACGTATTTAGATAGATAGATGTAAGGAAGCATGTCATTCAGATGAGGTCGGGGAGGGCTCACTGCATGCTGGGTAATGTCCCCAGCAAATCACTGATTCTCCTCCGCACAGGTGAGGAAGTGGGGCTCAGGAGGTGCAGTGGCTCACCCATGGTGGTGACTGGCAGATGGTGGGGCCGAGACTCTGAAGCTGAGATTTCAAAGATGACTGAGACCTTAAGGATGCTCCCTCCCCTAATCTCCCACTAGAAGGTCCTCTGTGCTGCAGAGACAGGACACGTGGACACTTGGGTGGGACCACATCTCCTCCCCAGGACCATCCCATCTCCTGCCCTGCTCTTCACTTCATTGCTGCCAGTTCAAACCAACAGGCCCTGTCCAGGACATGTGGCAGTTTGGAATTCACATCCCAGCACTGACCCTCAGAGCCTGTCCCCCTGGGTGAGATGCATCCACCCCTCAGGCCTCTAATCTCCACCTTGCCTCATGGCATGTTTCCCTGCAGTGCCTGGATTGGGCCATTCAGTTTCCAGAGGATGACTGTGGTGTAGTCACCATGCATGCATCCTTCAGCTGGAGCCAGGGAGGCCCTTGGGGTCCATGTGATGAAGGAAGTCGGGTACTCAGCAGCCCAGGATAGGCCTTTGAGCTTCAGAGAGACCAAGAGCAGAGGTTCTTTGGAGCTGTTGGAACTCCAGAACTCTGGGCATGATCTCAGCACACCTGTGGGGTTGTACTGCCCAGCCTAGCTCTGGAATGTGCTGGGCAGTATGTGGCACAGGACAAGCTCAGCCTCTGGGGTATGCCTCATTTTCCCTGGGGCCAAGGCCTCTGTCTGTGGACCGACGGCTCGCCAGGCTCTGCGTGCAGCCCTCATCTCGGGTGTAGTGAAGGCCCCGCAGCTGCCTGTCCCTATCCATCTGGGCTCAGCTCATAACAGTCACGGATTCTCGTGGAGTCGTCCAGCCTCCCCAGCTGCAGGTGCCCCTTCTAGCGCCAGTGTGCCACAGCCTGCCATGTGGGTTCAGGTACTCACCACAACCCTTTTTCCTCTGTCATTACTCAGGTAGAGAAACCAGTCGGCAAGAAGGAACCCACCACCCCTTACACCGTGAAGCTCCGGGGAGCCCCCTTCAATGTCACTGAGGTGTGTGTTCACGGAAGACAGGATACAGAGAGGATGGGGGGGGGGTGCCAGGATGAGGCGAAACCGTGAGCTAGAAGTGGGTGTGGAGGCTGCTGAATCACATCCCGGAGGGGAGGGCCAGGGTGGACAGGCTCACTGTCTAAAAGCAAGGGGGCACAGGGATGGAGAGACAGCTCGGGTCAGAGTGCTTGGATCTCCCTTCAAGCCCCAGGATAAAGAAAACTAAATCAGATCATGATGTTACTGCTAACTTAACAGACACGATGAGGTCAGTTGTCAGGTGTTTACTTCTCTTGTTTTGAGAACTGGGGGCAAGCACATGGCCACTAAGCTACGTCCCTGATAAGGTTGTCAGGTGCTTGGAACCCTAAGAGAAAGTGTCAGAGAATTGTCACTGTCCAGTTGCTGATCGGTAATGGTTCAGTGAAGTGTTTCACTGGTAAAAAGTGAAGACAGAAGGGAAAACACATTTCTTTTTCTCCCAGAAAAACGTTACGGAGTTCCTGGCGCCCCTGAAGCCAACGGCCATTCGAATAATGAGAAACGCCCACGGGAACAAAACAGGTGAGGCAGAGGCTGCCCTGCCGCACAGCCCCGAGACTGCTGGCCACGGGCTGCCCTGGGGACACCCATTTCTTTTTTGCCATCTGTTGCCCTCAGTTCGGCATAGTTCATCTGCATAGAAGGGTCTCCTAGCCCTGCGTCTGGTGGCCCTGTACACAGATTCCTTGCCCTCTGTCTCCCTCCCTCTCTGCTCCACTACCCTGGCAGGCTCACATGCCCCACTGGTAGATGCTGGGCCCAGGGTTGACTGACCTGCTCATAGGCATGTCTGACAGAGGACAGTTCTGCCTTGCTGAGTATATGTGGCATGGCCTTGGGCCATGTCTTCCCAGGGTCTCCTGGTCTCAGAGCACTGTATTGGGCAGTCCTAAGGCAAAGAGTCTGGTGATTGACCATACTTGGAGCTGGGGTAGACTGGCACCTGTGGGGCCTACCTACTGGCCGGTCCAGGAGACTATGGGAGATGCAGCAACAGGAATGTAGCTGCATCTCACAGAACCTCACCAAGGCCCTGTGGTGTGGGAATCCACAGCCTGCAGGCTGTGAGGGTCCTTGGCAGGAAAAGGCCACCTGGGCCCTTTTATCCCACTGAGGGATAAAGTGCCCATGCATTAGGGACAGTTAGGTCACTGTCCCATGTCTTGCCCTATAGTAATAAGGGCGGCGGGGCTGCGTCCCCAACACCCCAGCCGCCTGCTAGCTTATGGCCGAAATAACAACACACAAACTGTATTCATTTAAACACTGCTTGGCCCATTCTCTTCTAGGCTAATTCTCACATATTTTTTTTTCTTTTTTAAATTTATTTATTTATTAAGGATTTCTGCCTCGTCCCCACAACCGCTTCCCATTTCCCTCCCCCTCCCCCGATCAAGTCCCCCTCCCTCATCTGCTTGAAGAGCAATCAGGGTTCCCTGACCTGTGGGAAGCCCATGGACTGCCCACCTCTATCCAGGTCTCGTAAGGTGAGCATTCAAACTGCCTAGGCTCCCACAAAGCCAGTACGTGCAGTAGGATCAAAAACCCACTGCAATTGTTCTAGAATTCTCAGTATTCCTCATTGTCCGCTATGTTCAGCTAGTCCGGATTTATCCCATGCTTTTTCAGACCTAGGCCAGCTGGCCTTGGTGAGATCCCAATAGAACATCTCCATTGTCTTAGTGTGTGGGTGCACCCCTTGTGGTCCTGAGTTCCTTGCTCGTGCTCTCTCTCCTTCTGCTCCTGATTTGGACCTTGAGATTTCTGTCCGGTGCTCCCGTGTGGGTCTCTGTCTCTGTCTCCTTTCATCGCCTGATGAAGGTTAATATTCCTGAGGATGCCTATGTGTTTGTCTTTGGATTCACCTTATTTAGCTTCTCTAGGAACATGAATTATAAGCTCAATGTCCTTTATTTATGGCTAGAAACCAAATATGAGTGAGTACATCCCATGTTCCTCTTTTTGGGTCTGGCTTACCTCACTCAGGATAGTGTTTTCTATTTCCATCCATTGGTATGCAAAATTCAAGAAGTCCTTGTTTTTTACTGCTGAGTAATACTCTAATATGTATATATTCCATACTTTCTTCATCCATTCTTCCGTTGAAGGGCATCTAGGTTGTTTCCAGGTTCTGGCTATTACAAACAATGCTGCCATGAACATAGTTGAGCATATACTTTTGTTGTATGATAGGGCCTCTCTTGGGTATATTCCCAAGAGTGGTATTGCTGGATCCAGGGGTAGGTTGATCCCGAATTTCCTGAGAAACCGAAACACTGCTTTCCAGAGTGGTTGCACAAGTTTGCATTCCCACCAGCAATGGGTGAGTGTACCCCTTTCTCCACAACCTCTCCAGCAAAGGCTATCATTGGTGTTTTTTATTTTAGCCATTCTGACAGGTGTAAGGTGGTATCTTAAAGTTGTCTTGATTTGCATTTCCCTGATCGCTAAGGAAGTTGAGCATGACCTTAAGTATCTTTTGGCCATTTGAACTTCTTCTGTTGAGAATTCTCTGTTCAGCTCACTGCCCCATTTTATAATTGGGTTGATTAGCCTTTTACGGTCTAGTTTCTTGAGTTCTTTATATATTTTGGAGATCAAACCTTTGTCAGTTGCAGGGTTGGTGAAGATCTTCTCCCAGTCAGTGGGTTGTCTTTTTGTCTTAGTGACAGTGTCCTTTGCTTTACAGAAGCTTCTCAGCCTCAGGAAGTCCCATTTATTCAATGATGCCCTTAGTGTCTGTGCTGCTGGGTTTATACATAGGAAGTGGTCTCCTGTGCCCATGTGCTGTAGAGTACTTCCCACTTTCTCTTCTATCAGGTTCAGTGTGTTCGGACTGATATTGAGGTCTTTAATCCATTTGGATTTGAGTTTTGTGCATGGTGATAGATATGGATCTATTTTCATTCTTCTACAGATTGACATCCAGTTTTGCCAGCACCATTTGTTGAAGATGCTCTCTTTTTTCCATTGTATACTTTTAGCTCCTTTATCGAAGATCAGGTGTTCATAGGTTTGTGGGTTAATGTCAGGGTCTTCTATTCGATTCCATTGGTCGACTTCTCTGTTTTTATGCCAATACCAAGCTGTTTTCAATACTGTAGCTCTGTAATAGAGTTTGAAGTCAGGGATGGTAATGCCTCCAGACAATCCTTTATTGTATAAGATTGTTTTGGCTATCCTGGGTTTTTTGTTTTTCCATATAAAGTTGATTATTGTCTTCTCCAGATCTGTGAAGAATTTTGATGGGATTTTGATGGGGATTGCATTGAATCTATAGATTGCTTTTGGTAGAATTGCCATTTTTACTATGTTGATCCTCCCAATCCAAGAGCAAGGGAGGTCTTTCCATTTTCTGGTGTCTTCTTCAATTTCTTTCTTCAAAGACTTGTAGTTCTTGTCAAGTAGATCTTTCACTTCCTTGGTCAGGGTTACTCCAAGGTATTTTATGCTATTTGTGGCTATCGTGAAAGGTGATGCTTCTCTGATTTCCCTCTCTGCTTCCTTATCCTTAGTGTATAGGAAGGCAACTGATTTTTTGGAGTTGATCTTGTATCCTGCCACATTACTAAAGCTGTTTATCAGCTATAGGAGTTCTTTGGTAGAATTTTTGGGGTCGCTTATGTACACTATCATATCATCTGCAAATAACGAAAGCTTAACTTCTTCCTTTCCAATACGAATCCCCTTGATCTCCTTATGTTGTCTTATTGCTATTGCTAGAATTTCAAGCACTATATTGAAGAGGTATGGAGAGAGTGGACATCCTTGTCGTGTTCCTGATTTTAGTGGGATGGCTTTGAGTTTTTCTCCGTTTAATTTAATGTTAGCTGTTGGCTTGCTGTAAATAGCTTTTATTATATTTAGGTAGGACCCTTGTATCCCTATTCTCTCCAAGACCTTTATCATAAAGGGGTGTTGAATTTTGTCGAATGCTTTTTCCACATCTAGTGAAATGATCATATGGTTTTTTTCTTTCAGTTTATTTATATGGTGGATTACATTGATAGATTTGCGTATGTTGAACCAGCCCTGCATCTCTGGGATGAAGCCTACTTGATCATAATGGATAATTTTTCTTATGTGTTCTTGGATTCGGTTTGCCAGTATTTTATTGAAAATTTTTGCGTCGATGTTCATGAGTGAGATCGGTCTGTAATTCTCTTTCTTGGTTGGGTCTTTGTGTGGTTTTGGCATCAGGGTAACTGTAGCTTCATAAAAGGAATTTGGCAATGACTCTTCTGATTCTATATTGTGAAATACATTAAGGAGTATAGGTATTAGTTCTTCTTGGAAGTTCTGGTAGAATTCTGCATTGAAACCATCTGGTCCTGGGCTTTTTTTTGAAGGGAGATTTTTGATAACCATTTCTAATTCTTCGCGAGAAACCGGTCTATTTAGATCATTCACCTGGTCTTGGTTTAGCTTTGGTATATGATACTTATTTAAAAAAATGTCCATTTCTTTTGTATTTTCCAGTTTTGTGGCATACAGGCTTTTGTAGTAAGATCTAATGATTCTCTGAATTTCCTCTGTGTCTGTGGTTATGTCCCCCTTTTCATTTCTGATCTTATTTATTTGCGTGTTCTCTCTCTGTCATTTAATTAGTTTGGATAGGGGTTTGTCGATCTTGTTGATTTTCTCCAAGAACCAGCTTTTTGTTTCATTGATTCTTTGGACTGTTTTCTGTGTTTCTATTTTGTTGATTTCAGCCCTCAGTTTTATTATTTCCAGTCTTCTACTTCTCCTGGGCGCGTCTGCTTCTTTTTTTTCTAGAGCTTTCAGGTGTGTTGTTAAGTCCCCAATGTATGCATTCTCCGTTTTCTTTAAGTGGGCACTTAGTGCTATGAACTTTCCTCTTAGCACTGCTTTCATTGTGTCCCATAGGTTTGAGTATGTTGTCCCTTTCTTTTCATTAAATTCAAGGAAGACATTAATTTCTTTCTTGATTTCTTCCTTGACCCAGGTGTGGTTCAGTAGTTGACTGTTCAGTTTCCATGAGTTTGTCGGTTTTTTGGGGGCAGCGTGGTTGTTGCCTTCTAACTTTAATCCGTGATGATCTGATAAGACACAGGTGGACACTGATATTTTTTTGTATCTGTGGAGGTTTCCTTTGTTACCAAGTATGTGGTCAATTTTTGAGAAGGTTCCATGAGCTGCAGAGAAGAAGGTATATTCTTTCCTATTTGGGTCGAATGTTCTATAGATGTCTGTTAAGTCCATTTGCTTCATTACCTCCAATAATTCTCTTAATTCTCTATTAGGTTTCTGTCTGATTGACCTGTCCCTTGGAGAGAGAGGTGTGTTGAAGTCTCCTACTACTAGTGTGTGTGGTTTGATGTCTGCCTTGAGTTCTAGTAATATTTCTTTTACATAAGTAGGTGCTTTTATATTGGAGGCGTATATATTCAGGATTGAGACGTCCTCCTGATGAATTGTTCCTGTTATGAGTATAAAGTGACCATCTCGGTCTCTTCTGATTGATTTTAGTTTGAAGTCAGTTTTGTTAGAAATTAGTATGG